AACGGGGTGGGGGGAGGCGCCTTCACGAGTGTCCCCCGGGACTCGCTTCTCATTATATATGTGATGTGTAGGCCCCTCTCTTAGGGCTCCGGCACCGCAACTGTCACACGGCCACCTGTGGCTCGCTGGCTTGCCCCCTCCGCCTACGCCGGGAGGATGTGGAGGACACCAGTTCCTCTTCCTCCCGCCTCCATTATTTTCCCAGGCCCAGGCGAGACATCTTCCTGGAAAACCTGCTGGGAAAGGGGAAATCCCGGCAGGGATCTCTTTTCGGGAAAAGTCATGCAAACAAATGAAAACATATGCCAACCTGTCCTGTCTTCCCCAGGGAGGTTCTTGGAGGGGGTACCGTTTGGTGTCAGCATGATTCTTCCCCTACCCTACCCTGGAGGCCTGTTCATGGAGCACCTACTGTGCACAAGACCCTGCACCAAGTGCTGGGGACCCAGGTGGGCCCATTGGGCACACAGGATCAGGACACTCACCCAGCCAGCAGATGAGTACCCATCTCGGAAGCGATTGGATGACAATAATGATGGCCTGGGGGCAACCATAGGTGGGGCCTGAGGGTGGGGCACTTTCTGGGTGGTGAGTGGAGACTTACTAGCAGAGAATGAGCCAGGCTGGGGGAAGGGCCAGGGGTGGAAAGGAGCTGGGCAGGGAGGGCCACCAGGGGATCTTGAGCCTTGGTGGGGGATGTGGATTTTATTCCAAGGGCACTGGGAAGCCACTGGAGAGTTTGGAGCAAATGAGGGATCTAATCAGTGGGGCCTAGTGGGGCAGATCTAATCATAGACCTAATGAGATGGGAGAAATGTGCAGATTCACAATGTTCCGGAATTTCAGGGCGTGAGGAGGAGGTTCAGAGTTGGGAGCCCTGGGGGTAGGCAGGGCCATCTTCTGTGCCTGCTGGGGAGTTGGGGCAGGAAGCATGGAGGGGGGCAGGGAGCAGGGTGGAGAGAAGTAGCACCTTAATGGGAAGGAGGCAGGCAGGGCCGAGGAATATGAAGGGGTAAGGCAGTCCTGAAGACCCAGCAGCAGCAAGCAGTCTAAGCAAAAGGGGCAGGAATATTGGGATGTCACCTTATCTGCTGTCCTGGGCATCCTGTCCTCCCATGGCTCCCTGGAGACATGGCAAGGGTCAGGCTGTGAGCTACTTGCTCCAGCACGATCTGCCGGGTCCTTGGACTTGTACCTTGCACTCAGTAAAAGCAAACCTTTATTACCCCTGGTGCTGTCACTGTGAGATTCCAGGAGTCTAGTCTATTATTATTAATTATTATTGGTTTAGAGACAGAGGAAGGGAGAAAAATCAGATTTGTTGTTCCACTTATCTATGCATTCATTGATTCTTGTGTGGCCTGACTGGGGATTGAACCCGGAACCTTGGCTTATTGGGACGATGCTCTAACCAACTGAGCTATCCAGCCAGAGCCCAGGGGCATCCAGTTGGAGAAGTTCAGGATCCAGTCTTGAGAATCTTATGATCCTGATTCTCAAGTCTCTGGGTCTCCTGGGGCCCCATTCTTCTTGCCTTGGTACTTACCTGATGGTGCTAACTCAGGAGCTGGGTGCAGGGTGGGTCAGGGAGGAGGGGTTCTGTCTCTCTCCTCCAGGGCTCCCAGCCTTGCCTGGGCGAGACGCCTGGCACCTGGACATGCCCAGGAAGGGGTCCTGGGATGCCTCAGCACCTGAGGCAGAGGGAAGAGTGCACTGGGTTCCTGTCGTCCTCTGAGCAGACCAGTGGTGTCAGCAATCCAAGGACCATCCTGCCTCATGGGCCCACCTCCTGCTAATTCTGGCCTTTGCCCTGGTGGTTCCCGCACAGCACCCTTGGTTCAGTGGCCCTCACCTCCAGCCAGTGTCCCACCAGCTGCTCTTTGCAGGGTTTGAGGGGAATTGGCAGGCGGGTGGTTACATGGCAGAGGAGTCTGTGGGCAAACCGGTAAGACGATGAGCAAATGGCAGGGTGGGTGGGTGAGCAAGTTGAAGATAGGGAGCTGGGCTTACTATCCTCAGTTCAAGGCCCCTCAATAATGGGATTGGCCCCACACCTTGGCTAGTAGGGGCAAAGCCCTCCCAACTGGCTCCCAGGCTCTAATGTGGATGAGGCCTCAATGGAACCCCAAGGTAGAGATGAGGTGCCTGGTGGGCCTTTGTGGGACGCTGAACTTCCACATTCCTGGCAGTACATCCTGGACGTTCAACCTCTAGCTTATCTGAAGCCTTCCCACCCCCCAAACTAAAGGATCACCATTCCCACTTTACATAAAAGGAACTAGGCTCAGAGGAGGCAGTGACTTGCTCCAACACAGCCAGCAGGGCCCACCTCCAGGCCACATCAGGAGTGATCTAGCAGCCGCAGAGGGTCAGGAATCCAAGCTCTTCCCACTTGGTTGCTGGTGTCGCTTGTGTCCAAGGATGGCTGTTGGAGGATTGGGCATTGTGGCAATATTCCAACTGTATGGGTACTTCCTGTTAGTGGCACACATCACTACTGCTATCACATGGCCACTCCTAACTGGAAGGTAGGCTGGGAAACTTTCTGGGTGGCATCTAGATATGGAGAACCTATTACTGGGGGGGGGAGGGGGGGGAGATATTTGGAGAAACTAGGAATTTTTGCTAGAAACCACAATAAGTTAACGAACTCCACAAGGCAAACGTGTTTGCAACATGGGGAGAATTTTTCTTCCAAGGTTTTACAGATCCATAACCAACGAGCCAAGATGATACAAATGAATTCATGGGGAGGTGGGGAAAGCCAATCCTAAAATTTGATTTTTCAGCCATCAGTTTACTAACCCACCAGTGCTGGCAAAGTTGGGGAAAACCAGGATCCCTTTTAAAATATATATATATTTGAATTCAGAAAGGGATAAATACCAACGATGAGAATCAATTGGCTGCTTCCTGCCCCTTAATGCTGTTGGATATAAAGGGTGTCCCAAAATTCACCTAAGATTTGAATTTAATGGTGCTCGCTATCGCGACATAATCCAGTTTTTTGTGCCTAAATTGCAAGATATGGATGTGGATGACGTGGTTTCAACAAGACAGTGCCACATGCCATACAGCCAGAGAAACAATTCAATTACTGCATGAGTCATTTCCTGGTCGTGTAATTTCCCATTTTGGTGATCAGAATTGGCCGCACAGATCATGTGATTTAATGCCGTTGGACTTTTTTCTTTGGGGTTTTTTGAAGTCTAAGGTTTATGCCAACAAGCCCACAACCACCCACACCTTGAAGGAGGAAATTGAGCGCTGTATCAACGAAATTCAGCCACATTTATGCAAAACGGTCATGGAAAATTTCATCAAGTACATATGTGCCAGCAAAGCTGTGGAGGCCATTTACCCGATATGCTATTCCATACATAACCCTATACTGTATACTTTATGAATCAATAAAAAATTTACAATTTTTAATTATAAACCTGTGTTTTCTATCAAAATTACTTCTTGCGTGAATTTTGGGACACCCTTTAGATGCATCTATGGAGGGTAGTCTGGCAGTGCCCAAATCAAATACCTGGCCCAGAAACTTAACAGTTAGCCCATGTGCTGCAGACACACACAGGTGGAGGGATAGTCATTGGCCATCTGCCCTTTTCTGGGTCCCACAAACTTACAGCTCTGCCAGGGACAGTGACAGATGTGGTTCCAGCCCTGTCTGGTGGGGGTTGAAAGCTGTCCTTATGGATATACTAGAGGCCTGTTGCACGAAAAGATTCGTGCAATAGGCCTTCCCTTCCCCTGGCTGCTGGCACCGGTATTCCTCAGAAACCTGGGACCCCCTCAGACACGTCTCGCCTAGAACGGCTGGCCATGCACACGCTGTGCCCTGGGGATCTGGCCGCTCCACAGGTGGGTTGGAGACCCGGTTTTCACGCACTACTCCCCTTCTGTGGGGCAGCAGCTGTGTTCCCTGCCCAGGACGGGCTTTCTGCCTTTTTGTACTTAGGGCTCCCTCCTGATCCATGGTGGGTCCTGCCCAGCCTGTGCCTCTGGTGCTTGCACCCTGAGCACTGCTGATCAGTAAAGGTGATAGGTGGCCTGGACACCTGTGCTCAGAGGGATCAAGGTGACACATTAAGGACAGGCGCTCCCACGGCCTGTTGAGGGCCCAGCCAGGTGGATTAGCTTCGTGCCTGCACTTTCCAGGCTTTCAGTGGTTTCCTGGAGACATGCCCTCAAACACCCTGGAAGGACCTTGGAACCAAGAACCGGTTCTGGGCCAGGAGGGGAGGTCCCAGGTAGAACCAACCTAACTGTCCTGGTTTCCCCCAGGGTCCAGCTGCCGCATCTCACCACCAGAACGGGGGGAAATGGAGGCCCGTGGGACAGATTTGGGGGCCAAGCCTGTGCCCTACAATGCACCCTCCAAGCTCACAGCGGAGGCTGCCTGATAGGGCTGAAAACTCGGCCCTCACACTAGGACCCCACCCATGACAGCTCCTCACTGGACAAAGCCCCAAGAAACTGAGTGGGCAGGAGAGCTTGGGGGCGAGACCCTCGCTATTCCTGGGACTCCCACCACCCTTCTGAGGGTCCTGCTGTCTGGGCCCCACTGGAGCAATACCCCTCTCAGAGCAGAGAACTCATAGCTTGGCTGTGCCCTTTTGAGTTCTGCAGGGTGTGCAAAGAAAACAAGTGTGTACGAGCACCCGACTTTCCCAAAGAGTTTATTTGGGCAGACCAAGGGACGGAGAGACCCTGCATCTAAAAGAAGGTGTTGGGCCTCTTGGTGGTGAAGCGTGGCTTGTGCTGGCGACGAAGGACCCGGTGCGGCAACGGGAACTTGATCTTGGAGTCCTGTGACAAAGAGAGGCAGGTGAGGGGGTGGTGTGGTGGAAGCCTCTTAACCTTGTCCTTTGAAAGGTCTACAGAGGTGTGGACATGCCCCACTGGGCTCCTGCGTCAGACCCAAGGCTAGGGGGAGCCCCCCTCAGTCCAGCAGGGGCCCAGCGCACTCACGTGGAACTGCTTGACTGCTGGTCGGCGGCACTTGCTGGCTGCAATCTCCTCCACCTTCATGATCTGGATTAAGTGGGCACGGGCACGGTGCTGGTCCCGCATAGCTCTGGGTAATGGGAGAGACCCTATCTAAAAGAAGGTGTTGGGCCTCTTGGTGGTGAAGCGTGGCTTGTGCTGGCGACGAAGGACCCGGTGCGGCAACGGGAACTTGATCTTGGAGTCCTGTGACAAAGAGAGGCAGGTGAGGGGGTGGTGTGGTGGAAGCCTCTTAACCTTGTCCTTTGAAAGGTCTACAGAGGTGTGGACATGCCCCACTGGGCTCCTGCGTCAGAC